CTGAAAGGGGTAATCCCGCATGCCCTAATTTTTGTATGGTAGATGGTTTTCAAAAGATTGTATAGTACACCTTACAATTTCCTGACATCAGTGAGGTTATGAGTCGTTTCCTGAGTGACTATATTCACGATTATTGGTTTTTGCAAATTGGTCCAAGTCGCTTAAGCGTTTTTGGTCAAGATCACCGGACCAACAATTACTTGGAATCATTTCATTCAACATTGCCTCACACAAATTGGACGCCACCCTAATATTTGGGATTTTCTTCGTGAGTCGTCATAGTAGCACTTGACCTTATTGTGATCTCTTTGTTGCATTATCCTATAAATGTTTGTGTTATCTGTTTTTTATGTTTGTGTTGTTAGGTACATGTTTAACATGATCAACAGTGTAAGAACAATTCTTAGGAATAAAATTAGTAAGTTCCATCAATATTTGTTTTTAATATAAAATTTGTTTTCTATTTTCTCTACCTACTTGTTTATTATTGCCTTGACAAGCTTGCCAAGAAAAATTTAAGTAATTATTACTTAAAATAATAACTTATATGTAAATCTAGCATTATAAATATTAGTTGTGTGGTGAATATTTGTGCTTTATAAATATTGGGCATGTTGATAAATATTTTATTTATTTTATGAGTATTTGTAGCATGAAAACAATTGCTTTAAATTATTTTTATCGTCAACAATATTATATTATTAAATATTAATATACATATTTTTTTTTAACAGAAAGGCTTTTTGTTGTTGAAAATCAGTTCTTTATAGAATTTCAACAGTGCACAAATAACCTCACGGTAATTGATTAATTTTTAATTTTCTGAATAAACATGTTAATATGTTATTTTGATTGCGTTTGAATTATGTCAATTATATTTACTTTTTTAGATTAGAGATGGTACTTCCAGATCTGAAAGGGAAAATACAACACGGATAATAAGAKAATTAGTACAACAACTAAACAGAGACAGTGACTTGTTAATKTTTTTGAGGAGGACTAGTCACCGAAATGATGGCTATGTTCGACAACAAATTGGACCTTATCCCTGAGTGTGTTGTATATAATAAAATATACCGTATATATTTTAATTACTTTAAATTACATTTTCTACTTGTCCACTTATAAAAAATATTGTACTTATAATTTTTAAATTAAAAKTGATTAATAATTCACTGAATCAGTCTGAACCAGTTTATTTAATTGAAAAAATGAATCAGTTCATTAAAGTAAA